ATGGATACTTCCTTATCTTACAGAGTCAAATCGAGCATTTTCTACTGTAAAATTTTTATTTCTGTGTAAAACAAAGACAGAACCCCATGTAGGTCAAACAAGGAAAACAGACACCAAGTTCAAAGCACTATTAAGTCATGAAACAAAGAAGAATCTGAGGTAGAAGTCAGGCAATATAATCCACAACCTTTTTAGGGGCACACTGAACCATCACATCTCTAGTAAGAGCTCATTTTTTAAAAAAAGTCGCAAGTTCCAAAAAATTAATAATCCACTCTCTGAATTCAGATGTAAAACTATGACCAACAGAAGATACACACAAACTTTTGTCATGTTAACAGAGGAAATGGTTTTACTAAAAGCTGCTGACGTTTCCATCAGTAGTAACCATAGGGAGGCCGTTGGTTGTAACCATAGTGTCCGTATTGATGGGGGTAGTAAGGTTCTTGTCTGTGCTGCGGGTAATTGTTACCCCAGGATCGTCCATGCCACTGATTGGATCGATTGTCACTTGGCCACCCCCGTCTGCTATCCCTACCTCTAAACTGTCTGTTATCTTGCAACCTACAACAACAAAACAAAAAGATTTTTATACTTCCCTTTTAAAAAACACAAATGACAAATCTATCCTGGTGCATTTTATTTCTCAATCTAATACTCCGTAAACGAGAGTAAAAAACATTTTTCTCTGCAGAATGTTATATATAGCACCAGTTATTCAAAACTTTCCTAAAATTTAAATCATTCTTCCAGTAATATACTGGATACACTTTGCAGAGAAATAGGCAGACCACAACACAAAACCCACAACAATGGGATAGTTCTGAATCAAGCTAAAGTCTATTCAATTGTACAAGAGCAGTATGGTCATTTATTCCTTTTATCTATTTTGAATTATTAAATAGATGAAATTTCCATTGTATAACTTTCTAAAGTAAAACCAAAGACATAGCTGCCTTTATGTAATCTAGCACAAAGTTTTGTAGAAGACTCTAGGTTTGTAAAGTATATTTGCAGAAGTCCACAGGAAGAACATTTTTAAAAAGAACATTAAAACACATACACAGTTGAAGAGCAAGGAAAAAATACATGGTGCTGACAAAATTTTAATATTAAAGCAAATATTTACCAGCCACTCACTGTGTGCAGGCAGTGACCAGGCACGAGGTATACCACACTGAACAGGAACACTGGTCCTGCCCTCACTGGCCTTATAGGCCCGTGGAGTAAAGCTGTCGTCTCCCACATCAGCCACATGCATGTCCCCTGAAGTAATACATACCGATTGCCCCTATTTCTCTGGTTCCCACCAGCTCTGCTATTCCATTCCTCAACGATTGGAGGGGACTCAGGAGGGCGTTTCAGGTATTCCTGGTACTCCTTGTCATCTTCTGTGAATCTACTGGCAAACATCTCTTCAAAATTGGGAACAGCTTCAGAAGTGTCTGTCATCCTGAAATTCTGTACAGTTTTTAATATGTTTCTATGAGAATTTTTAAAAAAAATACTGTCTCACCAGATAGTGAAAAACCAAGAAATGAACAATTTTAGGCAAGGTACTCGTAAAAGTCTTTGTATACTTTTAAACTTAAGATGGTTTTAGACATTCAACTTAGTATTTCTTGATTTCTGTACCATAGGCATTGTGTTAACTGGTGCCTGGGGTACAAAGATGAACAATTTATCATGGTCTCTACCCTCCAAAGAGCTCTCAGTCTAGTGTAAGAGACAGACATGGTGTAAATACAAAGGGAGGAATAGTGAATGTCAAGAAACAAAGCTGGAAAAATGGGCAGGGACCAAACTGTGTTCAAGGCAAACAACTCTGCACTCATTCTGGTAGGAAAGGGGGAGTCTTAGGAACCTAAGTGGTTTAAGCAGGGAAGCCTCGGGGGCAAACTGACTATTTAGAAGGACCACTTTGCTAACAGGGTAGGGGAAGAGATTAGTGAGGACAGACCAAAAGCAGATTACTGCAAGCCTGGAGGACTCAATCTGAGGCAGCAACTGTGAGCACAGTTTGTTAAGAATTCCAGAAGAAATTAACCACTAACTAGATGTTGGGAGAAGAGGGGGGAATAAAGGATAACTTCCAGGCTTCTAGCCAAATGACCGGATGGGCTGTGGTGCCACAGGAACCACAGGAAAAAGGGTGGGTGAGGATACGGAGTTTGAAGTTAGTTATGATATGTACATCCACATGGAGAGTCAGCTCCCAGTTACCTATGTGGGACTGAGAACTAGGTGATGATAAATACGGGAGACATCAACAATTTTGTTGGTGGTTAATGCTGTGAGAGTGGATGAGATTCCTCAGGAAGACTGTGGAATAAGAAGAGTATCAAGGAACAGAATCCTGGAGAACAATGACCTGTAAGGAAGTTGGAGATAAAGAAGGGATCAGAGGGGAACACACACAGATAAGAACCAGAACAGCTTCTCACAGAAGGCAAGAACAGAGTGAATGGTTCTCAGTGTTGAATTGCACAATGATAGAACCAAGAAGAGAAAATTAATTGGATTTAGCCATTAGGAGGTGATTACGTCAGAGTACTAGGGATTGAAGCAGGACTGCTGTTTATTGAGAACTGGAAGCTAAGGAACTAGAAATCTACACGGATTACAGACTAAGCTTTCAAGAAACTTCACTGAACACAAGAGAAAAAAGGGCAGTAGCAAAGGGGTTACTGGAAGATTACCTCTAGTTTTTCCCAGGACAGTGTCCCTGAGGCTGTTTATAGGAAAAGAAAACCAATAAGAAAGAGAAATTGAAAACACAGGAGAGACATGAAAATGGAAAGGCAAATAAGCATTTAAATGAACAGCTACTCAAGTCTGGGTACTTTATAAAGGCTTATTCTGTGACAAAATGAAAAATACGATAGGTACTATCTAACAGCTAAAAAACACCTGAAACCTTTTATCAGCTGGGTTCCCCGGGCCAAGTGTGGATTAATTCAAGTGATATTTCTGCACCCACATTTTCAGAGAGCCCTCTACCTCTGAGAAAAGATTTGGCTTAGGCCACAAGAGGCCTCATCCTTGAGAAGTCAGGGGACCAAGAGTTCACTTCTTTTCATCTTTATCCAAGACCTGGAAGCCCAATCAGTATTCTGTAGGCAGCCCCCACTTCCCTGTCTTCCTTGGCCAAGCAGTGGTCAGTACTCCCGTCTCTTGCCTTCCCTAACCCAAGCTTCATCTTTCTACTCTCTGCCTCAAGATTCCTAAAACCTGTTCTGTGATTTGGGATGTATGTAACATCATGCTAAAACTTTAAAACCGAATCTCTCCCTCTTGCCTGACATCCTAAAATTATTTTTCTTCCTGTATTACTTCAACTCACAAAAGCCTTTGACAAAGACACGTGATGGTGGAAGAGAACTTCATTAGTTTGTTTTTCCTCCAGATCCCTCAAAACTCACGCCAGTATTTATACTACTGCCCTTATCCCAACAAAATTAAACCAAGACCATTGTGTGGACGCAAGCAGCAATACCCAGACGTTTTCTCTTTCAGGCTACTGCTCTCATAGACTTTCAGTGTGTCTGGGATTGGCAAACTGATGTCAAACTCTCAAATCCAAGGGATGATTTGTAGTAAGTTCAGCTGAGGAAAATCGTGCCTGGATTTCTAGAGGAATCACAGAAATCTCCAGGAAAAGGGCCCGTATCCCACCAGGTGGGAAGTAAAAATTATAAGGCAAGGTAAAAATGCTACTCCCACGGTCCCCCTCCCACAAGTGAACAAATATCTTTATCAGCACTCATGAGAATGCGATTTAAATAGACTTCTGATGGATCTGAGCTTTACTTACCCCAGCAGTCTGAGGCAGCTGCAATGTTTAATGTTTATGTTGTTTCGATCTGTGGGAAGGGGGGAAAAAAACGCCTGATTCCCTCGAAGGAAACCCTCAAAAGGTGTTGGGGGGGAGGGGCTGGTTACAAGCGCCCCGCTGGGCCTCCTAAACCAGTACGCTAGTCCGAGCACTAAAGAGAACAAGCTACGTTCTCTTCGTGGAAGGAAGGGGTCAGCCCTTCAGACTCGCCCTCCAACACCACTAGTGTCTTTATAAGTAACATCACACGCAACTCGGGTGCAGGCGACTGACGCCGGACATGACTGCCCGCACTGGGCCTTGGCTGCCCGGGAGACGGACCTAGGCCGCCACCAGGGCCCGGCGGGGCTTGCCCACCACGGCTCTGACAGGTCGGCTCCCTCCCGGGGCACCTCAACGCCCCAGACGCGACTGCCGGTGGAGGCCGAGTGGGGTGCCCGCTCCGTGCGGCCCCTCGGCTCGGCCCGCCCGGCTCCCCGCTCCGCGTGGCCCCCCCTAAAGGGCGACCGGGCAGCCGAGGGCTGCGTCCATCCGGCTCGGGCCGCACCCCACCCGCCGCACACGCAGGAACACCCACCTCCGGCCCACACCGCGGCCAAAGGATCTCCCACCACTGAGCTCTCCAAGGTAACGGAGCCCCTGGAGCGGCAAGCCGACATTCGCCTGACTTCCGCTTCCGGCGGGCAGGCGCGGGGGCGGGCCTGCCAGGTATCGCGAGATCGCGGGCTCGCCGTGAGGTTTCTTGCCGGTCGTTGGAGCGACGGGGCGACCCGCGCGCTGGAGCGAGCGGCGCGTCGAAGGGGGCGGTGCCCTGCTTGCACGCTCAGCCCGCGCTCCCCGGGCAGGACACAATGTCGCTGTGTGTGTGAAGTGCCCCCCTGGCTGGGCGCCGGTGACGGGTGGGGACGGGCGTTCAGGAAATTTGCAGGGCGGGGGGTGGGGAGGCCACTTCCGGCGAGACGAGGGCTGCGGTGGACGGTGGGCACGAGCGGAGGGCCTCAGCGGTGCCACATCTCTCACCCCTGGCCGGGCGGGCCGCGCTAGCTGGGTGTCCGTAGTCCGTTCTTTACCCGTTTTTGCCGAAACACCCCCCCCCCCCCCGCACCCGCTGAAGTCGTCAGCGTCCTGCTGCCTCCAAGCGTCTTGCCCGTTTCTTCTCGGGGGTTCTGCGGTTGTACCAGCGCGGGGCTTCGAAACGTAACTCGGCCCTCGCCCTCCCAAACGGCTTTCCAGACGGTGCACCCCCTTTTGTTAGCATCACCACTGGATTCCACTTAGAAACTTAGATGTCCCCAATTGATGCCATTTTTTTCCCCTTTACTGACTTCCGTCAATTGACAAGTTCTGTCGATTCTACCTCTGCAGAAATTCCGGCATCCATCCACCCTCCTTACCTACCAGGTCCACTCGAATTTCTCATTACTGTCCCCTGAACAGGGTAAATGCACTGCTTTTCTCTTAGATACCCTTCCTTTAGCATCACTCGCCTGCCAGCCCAGCTGACAGAGCTGCTACAGTCATCTTTAAAACGCAGCTGTGATCAAAAACCTTCACTGGCTCCCTGTTGCCTGTAGGTTAAAGGCCAAATTTATTAACTTGAATTCAAAACTCTTAACTTTGTTTCCTGCTGTTCCCCCTTTCGTTCTCCCTTTCCCGTGGCAAATCAGACCACCTCCTGCACGAATAACCCATTGCCTTTCTAAGGACTGCTCCTGTCTCTTTCTCTTTGGAATACCCTTCCCTCCCCATCTTCTTGGGATGTCTAGATTCTGTCCATTCTTTAAAGCCAGGTGAAGTGACTTCTCCATCTAGAAATAAATTTTCTTTGCTACTGAATGTCCATCCTACTTTCTGAACCATTCTTCATGCATTCATTCAGGTAGTACCACTTTCTAATTCTGAACTAAAATTGTGTACAACTCTTCCCCTTACTAGACTGTAAATAGACCTTTATCATTTCTGCATCCTGGGATGTGTAATGTTGGGCTCTGCACTCAATAAATGTGGAACTGTGAACATTCCAAGCCATGTTTAGAAACACCAAGCCAGCAAAAGTGAATAGGACAGTATGAATGAGGAGCCCCAGTCCTATCGGGGTTGGACAGTAGAGGTAAGTGGGGAAAGAGCAAGGTTACAGTAACTTGAGTAACACTCTCCTTAGTAACAGAGTGGATGGTGGGGGGAAAGGATTAGGAGGAAGCAGGGAAGCCTCCACCCCTGTAAGCCTGGGAAATTGGGACTGAGAAGGGATAGCCATAGGGTCAGTTGGTTTTATTTTTTATTTAAGATTTATTATTGAGAGAGAGAGAGCGGGGGAGGGGCAGAGGGAGGGAGGGAGAGAGAATTCCAACCCAAGCCAACTCTATGCAAGCTCAGAGCCTGACACGGGGCTCAATCCCACAACCCTGAGATCACGACCTGAGTTGAAACCAAGAGTTGGAGGCTTAACTGACTGAGCCACCCAGGCAGGCACCCAGGCACCCCCTAGGGTGAGTTAATTTAAAGCGGAAATGAGCTCAGCGCTCAAAAAGATTTGTAGAATCTTAGATGGCATGTTAGGAATACAGGACTAAAGCTGAAGAAAGAGAGGTTATGCCTAAGTATGTAAATGTGTGAGTCATCCGTGAAGAAACAACAGTTGAAATCATCAGCGTATATGATCTTTCCAAAGGAGAAAGTATTTATAGAGAAGAGCAGAAGGCCAAGGCCTACGCCTCAGGAAATACCCATATTTAGGAGGCAGGAATAGGAAATATAAACTTGAAGAGGAGATTAGAATAAATACGTGGCAGCAGTGTAACAGTTGAAAAATTCAGAAAAATGCTTCCTTACCTGGTGTCAGGAGTCGGGGAGGATAGTTAGAAAGAGGAGAGTGGTTGAAGACCAGTTTGCTGACTTCCTTGTGACTTTTTTTTTTAAGACTTTATTTATTTATTTGATAGAGACGCAGCGAGAGAGGGAACACAAGCAGGGGGAGTGGGAGAGGGAGAAGCAGGGCCTCCCGCTGAGCAGGGAGCCTGATGCGGGGCTCGATCCCAGGACCCTGGCATCGTGACCTGAGCCGAAGGCAGACGCTTAACGACTGAGCCACCCAGGCGCTCCTCCTTGTGACTTTACTGTGGCATTATTTCCAGGTTATGAGGACTTGCACAGTAAAGGGTATATTTCTTTAATTCCATAAGTACTAGGAGCTCCTAGGCTTCTGAGAGTTTCTGTGAAGAACTCTAGGTATTCAATTTTCAAATGAAACTGTTTCTGCCCATTAGTTTTTTTAAAAAAAAGATTTATTGGGGCATCTGGGTGGCTCAGTCAGTTAAGCGTCTGCCTTTGGCTGAGGTCATGATCCCCGGGTCCTGGGATCGAGCCCCATTTCGGGCTCCCTGCTCAGCGGGGAGTCTGCTTTTCCCTCTCACTACCCCCCAGTCATGCTTTCTCTTGCTATCTCTCTCTCTCTCAAATAAATAAATACAGTCTTCAAAAAAATAAAGGATTTATTTACCCATCCTAGAGAGAGAGAGCAGGTTGGGTGGGTGGTGATGAGGGAGGTTGGGGAGGGACGGACAGAGGGAGAGAATCTGAAGCAGACTCCCCACTGAGCGCGGAGCCCAATGCAGGGCTAGATCCCACCACCAGGACATCATGACCTGAGCTGAAACCAAGAGTCGACTCGATAGTCATGTCCTTGGGCCTGTGGATACATCTGGAAAAGATTGCCTTATGTTAGTTTACTTTCTTGTCTCAGTTACTAATATTCTATCTCAGTGTTTATCTTCAAGCAACTCTGTAAATTAACCTAATTTACCCATAATTTCAAGCCTCACGTCAACCCAGTGATCTAGAGGCAAAACATACCAGCAGACATCCCTGAGGAATCCTGGCAGCTAAAGACTCCTACTTTGAGAGGCCGTGAGTGACCTTGGACAATGACCACTTTACAGATGGTGAAACTGAGGTTCAAGAGGTTATGCAGTTGTTTCAAGGGCCCAGCTGGTAAGTGGCAGCAGGATTTGGATCAAGTCTGTGTTAGTTCCACAAGGCCTTGCTCTTCCCACAGTGGAACAGTGTTTCCTCCTTTTCCTTCCATACCCCACACGTCCTGAGCGAGCCACACAGCCCAGACTCCCCGGACCCGGGGCTGATGTGGAACCCAGAAGGCAGGAACTCCTCCCCTGCAGCCTCCCCACCAAAATGTGCAGCCAGGACAACCTACCTGTTGCCTCACATTCCCCACCTTTGAAAGAATTTCTCAAAGGTGTATCTCACAGGCAGGACCCAAGTCAGAGGGCTGATCCCCAACTGAAGGAAGGCTGGGCAAGTGAGCTTTTAGTTTCTTCTTGGGAGAGGCAGGACTCATAAGGTGGCAAATCTTCTAAACAGAAGAAGGATATTCAAAAGACGTTGGCAGACAGGAAACGTGAGAGTTACCCACTGCGCCCTGGTTTATGACTTATCCCATTTTGCCTTGTGTTATGGTTATGGTTCCTAGCATACGTAAAATCACAATATTGAAGCACTGAAAGGGATTATCTGATTGAACACTTTATTTTTCATTTATTTTTATTGTTTTTGAAAGATTTTATTTATTTGTGAGAGAGAGAGAACGCACAAGCAGGGCAGAGCGGGGGGACGGAGGCAGAGGGAGAAGCAGCCTCCCCACTGAGCAGGGAGCCCCGTGCAAGGGCTGAGCCCAGGTCTCCGGGATCAGGACCTGAGCCCAAGACAGATGCTTGACCAACTGAGCCCCCCCAGGAGTCGCTACTTTTTTTTTAAACTAATGCCACAGGAGATGAAATGACTTTTCCAAGGTCACAGAATTGGTCAGTGGCAGACCTGGAACTGGAACCTTCAGGCACACTTCACAATTTAACGGATGTCTTTTGAACCTGTTAGATGCCAGGTACTGTTCTAGGCCCCGAAAACATCAGAGAATGAGGTTAAAAAGCCCTGCCCTCGGGGAGCTTCCATTCTAGTGGGGAAGATGGTCGGCTGAAAAAATGACTATGAAGAGTGATTCTGCAAGGTAAGAGGACACAGGGTAATGCGTTGCCACTTTGGAGCTTGTCCTCAGGGAATGTGGGAGTGCATGGTTTTCATCTCAGCCCTTTTCCTCGTAAGGTGGAGTTCCTCACACTTTCCTCTATCAGGAATAGAAAAATGGAATACTGTTGTATCTTTAACATCCGTTCCCTTCAAAGTGAATAGAGGAATAGCTCTTCCATTTCTGGGACAAAGCAGATGTGGCTTACTTTGTTGGTCTTAGACTGTGCCCTGTGGCAAGATTGAACTTCTGTGCCTATAGCTTGGGTTGGAATTACAGTCTCGCAAATTGTCTTTCTGTCTTTATATTGTGTTATTTAAACCACGTTCCCCACCCCCGCCTCCCCACCCCTTCCATAAACATACTGACCATTTTCCACAGAGCCAAGCACATGGCTGGCACTTAATAACTTCCTAGACAAGAATTAAAATACAGCAGCCTTCCACTCACTTTTTCTGACCTGGGCAAATGTCAACATGTTTCCCTGCCCTAATTTTATCTTCTGCAAAATGGGAATAATAATCCTCGCTACTTCTCTGCCTCATAAGGTTATTATGAGAGTTAATTATTGCATATATAAAGTGCTTTATGCTCAAGTGAGCAAAGATGTTATGCAGATGCTAATGATAATTAGTTATTATATGTTACATAAATATTTAAGTGGCATGAGAACATGTCAGGTTATATGAGGCATCAGTTTAGAGAATTTTCTTTTTCAAAGATTTATTTATGTATTTATTTTGGAGAGAGAGAGAGAAAATGTGTGTGCATGCACCACTGAGGGGAGGCGCAGAGGGAGCGAGAACCTCAAGCATACTCCCTGCTGAGCAGGGAGCCCAGTGTGGGGCTTGATCTCTAGACCCTGAGAGCGTGACCTGAGCCGAAGTCGGAGGCTCAACCAATTGAGCCATCCAGGTGCCCCGAGGCATCGGTTTAGATTCACATCTGTACTCCTGTGACTTTTAATTACAAAGAATTGTTTTAATCAGAGATTTCAAGATCCTAATCCAGTTCCACCACTCAGTGTCATTCTCCCACATGAGGAGTCCTTTGTGTAGGGGGCTTTTTCCAGGAAAAGGTAGGAAGCAAGCCAGTGCTAGTTAGTTTGCTACCCGAGTTTTACTATTTACCATAGAAGCCAGTTGGTGTCATTGAAGAGATCACAGAAGGAAAGAAGAGCAATTTGGGGGAAGAAAAAGCTATGAATTGGGCTTAGTGGGTTGGAACTAAAGTCTCTTCCCATTCTAAACTCCATGATTGTGATATGAAGGGTTTTACTCTCCCTTTCCTAATGTTTGTTATGTAAATAATGGCAAGTCTGTGTTTTCTAAGTGGAGGTGATTTGGATTCAAGTTGTGCCGTATCTGCCTGATTCTGCTCCATTTGGCAGGGCCCACTCAAGGCCCTGTGATGGCTCTTGTCTTTAGTGTCCTTCCTTCGCTTTTCGTGGCTGCTTTCTCTGCATGCTCCAAAGGCCAGTTCTCATAATCTACTTCCAATGTCTTGTTCCCGTCTACCTCTTCATCAAATATGCCCATTTCTCTTAGAGGGGACCTTGGAAACGTGCAGAGAGGCCAAGAGACTTGTCCAGAATTTACTCTCAACCGCTCCTTCTTCCATGCCACCATATTCTGTCCTCCAGGTAATTTTCCAGAATCTCTTTCATTGAGGTCATCATCACAGTTTAAGTGTTATAAGCATTTTATAAGCCCTTGGAAGTGGCGAAAGTCAGGATCCTTATCTGAGGGTGAACTTCTGCTAACTGCCCCACTTTAAGAAGGTCTCAATCCAGGATCTTGGCAAGCTTCCTGTCTTTGATGACAAAGTGGTCTGTCCCACCCTTGTGTGAAGTGCCTTATCTACCAATCTTTCAAAAGAAAGGTACGGAAAGCCCCCTTTTAACAGGGGGCTTTATGTGATGCAAGTGTCTTCAACCTAAGTGAGTGTGACGTAGGGAAGAGAGGACCAGGGGAGGAGTCAAGACTCTGAGTTAAAATCTTGCTCCCTGTGCCTTATTGTTGCAGGAGGTCATAGAGAGGGTGTGACCACCAGTTGACCCTTGAGGTGGACCGGAGCAATCAGGCTCCCTCAACCTTTTAGTGTTCGTCCTGCCCACCATTCCCACAGCCAGAGCTGTTTTCAAGGATGCAGCCTTGAGAGAGAAGGTGTTGAGACCTAACCCAGTGGAGGCCTCTAGTGAACGTCTAAGAGTCTGGCAGGCAGTGTGGAAATCTACTTGTCTTGTGGCTGCCCAAGACAAGCCTCAAATGTAAGTTCCCTTGTTTATTAAGGCCGCCGCCCACCGATCTGGAGTGGCCCGCCCCTTTCTTTGGTGTCTCCCTGTCTTCAGTGTCAGGAGGACAGTTTGCAAACCAGTGGTCGTCCTGCAAGTCACCACATCCCTGGGCCTCACCTTCCTCACCTTGCTCCCTGTTTCACAGATAGAGTTGAGGCTTCCGGTTCAATTCCCTCGACTTCCCAATCCCAGACCTACAGTGTGCCCGCGTCCCGCCCCTTCCCCCCATTTGTCTTCCAGGGTCTTGGGGCCTCTGTGTCCAGGGTCAGTGCGCACCCTGCTCTTCTGGTCTGTGCTCCTGCAGTCATTCCTTCTGTCTCCTCTGTTTTCAGCTCTTCCCACCCCCACAGCCCCACCATGCAAACTTGCTCAAGTTTCTCAGTCTCAAACAAGACTGATACCCTGCCCTCAGTCCTGTGTCCTCCTCTGAACACCTCGGGTCTGCTTTCCCCACACAGTGAGCCCCTCACAAAGAGCGCTGCACACCTGCAGCATTGCACTGACCCCTCTTCTGCCCCCAGACAGGCCGCCGAAATCACTCCGGCAGGCTTCGCCAGGACAGCGTTGACCTGGGGCCAAATGCAATGACTGGGTGTCTAAGGTCTTCAGTTTATTTTGTATCTGTGCAGCATTCGACGCTGTCCTCTCCTTGCTCCCTTACACCTTGCTGTCCCCTAGTTTCCAAGTTTCTCATGATCCTCCTTGGCGCCAGGTCACCGTCACATCTCTACCTCGATCGCCTTGGCCGACTCCTCAGTCCCCTGCTCACCCCTAAATGTTGGTGTCCCATGACCCCATCTGTACTCTCCCAGTGTCACCCCTGCACTCTCAGTTTCTCCTGTGGCTCCAGCTTCCAGCCCTGTGCTGACGACTCAGCGGTGGATCTCCCGCCAGCCTTCATATCTGAGCTCCAGACTCATAAATACTGCCCACTAGAAATTTCTCTCTGCAGGTCTGGCCAACATCTCCAGCACATGGCCACGGGTGAGTTCATCTTCCTTTCTGGACCTGTTCATCCGCTCTGTCTTCATTTTCAGGGAATGTGTCCTCCCAGTTACCCACACCAGAAGCTGGCACTCATCCTGGACCTCTCCCCGTCTCTTACCCCACACACCCGGTCCCTCCCCGTGTCCTGTGGACCTCAGCTCACTTGATGGACCCACCTCTCAGGGGTTCCTAATTACTTCTAGCATACACTGGAGGCTGCTGAGTGTGGAATTCCAGCCCGGGAAGAATTAGTTCGGTCCTATCTAGCCTTTTTTTTTTTTTTTTTTAAGATTTTATATTTTATTTATTTGACGGAGAGAGACACAGTGAGAGAGGGAACACAAGCAGGGGGAGCGGGAGAGGGAGAAGCAGGCTTCCCGCGGAGCAGGGAGCCCGACGCGGGGCTCGATCCCAGGACCCTGGGACCATGACCTGAGCCCCCCAGGCACCCCTGTCCTATCCAGCTTCATCTGCCACTCTCCCCAAGTGAACTAAATGCACAGCCATCGCAAACTGTTCCAAATTCCTGAAAGACTTTGTGTTGTGTTGTATACATGCTGTTCCTTCTGTTTGCGATGCCCTTCCCACTCTGGTCTACTTGGTAAATCTTAGCCTATTTTGTCACTTTCGGGTGGCCTTCAGTGATACCCCTTTCTCTCCCCACCTCCAAGGAGAACCGATGATTCCTTCCTGTATATCTTTAACAAATATAGCCACATTTGCCTAAATTACAGATTCCTTGAGGGCAAAGCTGTATCTTACATCTTGGGCAGTTAGCATAGAGTCTGGTGACCTGATACATAGCTGGTGCTCAGGAAATGTTCATTGATCCGGCACCTACCTTCCTTTCCTATTTTATATTTGAGTAATCTTTTCCCACGTACTTTCTCCCCAACCATGTAGAAAGACTCTGCCCCCCTCCTGTGCACAGCATGTGTGTCCCCTGGGCACCCACGTCGCCTTGTGGCAGCTCTCTGTGGTCTCTGCTGGAGCATAGGTGCCAGGAGCCCCGGGACCCCGTGTGCTGTCTGTGCCTCCTGGGCACCTAAGCGCCGGGGCCAACACTCCAGGCAGGGAAGCGTTTGTGAGCCTACAAATAAAGGAGTTAGGCTTGCTGATTTCTAAGTCCTCCAACTCCAAAACTATGATTCAGGGTTCTGAAAACTGTGTCATAATCTGCAAGTTTTCTCCCAGCAGATGGTCAAAACAGTTGAAACACCGATTCAAACAGTTGGCAGCTACAACGGTAAACAGTGAAGACAGTGAGTCAGAATGAAGGTAAATCCTCCAACGGGAGGGGAGCATTGGCAAAACAGTGTGTCCACGTGGTCACAAGGCGGCCCTTTGCACCCGGTGGTGGGTTCCATATGTTCCCTCCGGTGATCCGTGGGCCTTGAGAGCTTCTCAGAAAGGTGTTTGACAACTTCCCTCTGACTAAACCCCACTGGCTAGGAATGAGCTGAAAGCACATTATTTCTCTGCAGCAGAAATTACTTTTTCTTTTCCTTTAGCATTTTGCTTTAATTTCCTCATTTTTGTAAACTCGAACACACAGTTTAGTCATTTATTTAACATTTTATTTCTGCTCAGATAGAACTCCAGAGAAAACCCTAATCTAAAGACTTTTTGGGGCTTGTGACCTTGCTTATTTTTCCCCCCTCCATAAGCATGTATCCATATCCAGCATATTTCTAGGCTGAATGTTGGGGGCAATGGACAGGAGTGAGAAAATGTGGAACACAAATCTTAGGATCTAAGCGAAGAGTCAAACAGATGATCGTCATGATGTAGCGCATTATATAGAACAGCACCAGGTGACCCCATTGAGTGCAGAGAAAGGTGATTCCAGCGAGGTACCTAAGTGTAGATAGACTCGAGGCTGAGGAAAAACTCAGAGCAAAGTGGACTTAAGCAGAAGGAATTTAGGGCAGGTGGCACATTCACACACACAAACACACACACGCGTGCACACACCCCAAGTACAGATTGCCAGAAGCAAGCCCCTGTAAGGGATCTGGGTTTGGGGTGTGGCGGATGGACACTGGCCACTCTTTGTGGAATACTCTTCAGAGAAAGACCCCAAGACTGCTGCGCTTCAGGCCCACTCACAGAGCTCCCTACTGCTGTCTCTCCCCAGACACCGCCCCCCCCCCCCCGACCTGCTGCGTAACATCCCCCCTGTCCTCTTTGGAATGTGAGCCGTGACCTCTACTGATACGGGGCAATGCATGTCTCTCCTTGACTTCGGCATATTCCAGTTAGACATTGTTGAGGGTTGACTCCGGTCTCCCTCCCAGCAGGTGAGAGCCTGCCCCCTCCCACAGGTGGGTGGAGAGCTTTTGCTGCCAAGGGATCCTTAGCATTTTTAGGTGGTGCAGGCCAGCCTGTGCAACTTTAGCCAAGAATGAGGCTCGGTTTCCTTATTTCTAAGATGAGATGATCATGATTACTATTTTCCACTGCCGAGATTAGGATTATAAGGCTTACGAAATGTTGGTTGGTCACCCCTGTCTCCTTGCTCACCGTTTTCCAAACCAACACACCACACTCTGACTTGGCTGGTCTGAGCAGGGGGAGGTTCTGATGCAAACCTTTTGCAGTAGCCCTGTGAAAACAGTCAGGTCCAAACACCACCAGTGTGGTCTGCTGAGCGCTGACTATATGCCAGGCGCTGGGCGATGCTTTACAGCCACATTCTCTCCTTTGCGCTCGTAACAACCACCTCGGTAGGTGTCTGTCTTGGACAAACAGGGCTTGCAGATGAGAGGTAACTTGCCCAGGGTTACACAGGCGAGCAGAAGTGAGATCTGAATCTACTCTCTTCTCCCCGGAGAAGGGACACCAGAGAACCTAAAGAACAACACATCCGAGCTGGAGGTTTGAGAACTAGGCTAGTCAGGGTTGCCCTCTGTGGTTGAGAAGTGAGAACCCGGATGTTCGCGGCGTTGGTGAGGCAGGCGCCATTGGCTTTCAGGTGAAACACTGCTCAAGCCGGGACATGGAGTCTGTCAGGTTTCAAGGCAGCTGTGACTCAGTTCGTGGTTACTTTGACTTTGGTTTGTCTTTGAAGCAGGGGAAAAGCGACACCAGGGATGTGAATGGGGCAAGGAGTGCGGGGAGCTCTCTGACACCTGCCGCTTCTGGATCTCAGGGAGGTGTGCACACGCTCTAGTGTGTCTAGCGAGCCCACGCGAAGTGAGATGCCCGCCAGGTCCGAAGCGTATGGAACTGTGTGTGCCGCTTATCACCCGTAACGACGTGGACCTCCATGGAGAGCCATCAGTCGGCCGCTCAGAAGGCCACATCACCTGGGCCTGAGAGCCACATCCTAGGCCTTGACCTTCCTGTCGTGTGTGCTAGAAGGGGCAGCAACCTCCCTTTCCCTGCACGTACACGGCAAAGCCTAACAGTTTTCCATTTGTGCCCACTTGTGTCCACCGGGGTGCTGTCTGTGGGCAGGCCTGGCCCGGCCTGCTGCAGACACACAAGCACGGAGTCACGTTCTAGTGTAGAAACTGAAGAATGCAGTTTGTATCCTTGCCCAGAGGGCCACCGCATCCGCAGGCAGAGGTGCAAGAGTTTATGGATGGCTGCAGCCAAAATTGTGTCCAAAAAGAGGCTCTGACAGAGACAGAGAGCTAATCAGTGATGGCCCGGGTTTGGGTGGCAGAGAAGGACAGACTACAAATGGCAGTGCAGGAGCCTGTGGGGGCCGGGGGTCGCGGAGACATCCTGAAGCCGGATAGTGGTGGTGGTGGCTGCACAACTCCGTAACTTTACTACAAATCTCGAACCATACGTGGACAATGGTGCATTTTGTGCTGTGTAAATTCTACGAGAGGGAGGGAGGGAGGGAGGGAGAGAGGAGCAGCCCTGGATCTGCTTGAATAGGTGGAAGCACTTCGGTGAAACCCCAGCGTAACAGACACAGACCATAGAAGAGAAGATTCGGGCCTAGAAAGTATTAAGAGCAGGAGCAAATCATTAGAATCTTAGTGTCCAGCATCCAACCTTGAGTAGTCTGCCTCCTTGGAAAGATGACACTTGTAATATATATTTTTAAAAGATTTATTTATTTTAGGGGGATGCCTGGGTGGCTCAGTCAGTTGAGCGTCTGCCTTCGGCTCAGGTCATGATCTCAGGGTTGTGGGACTGAGCCCCGACTTGGGCTCCCAGCTCAGCGGGAAGCCTGCTTCTCCCTCTGCCTGCCGCTCCCCCTGCTTGTGTGTTCTCTCTCTCTCTCTCTCTCTGTCGGATAAATAAAATCTTTGAAAAAAAAAAGATTTATTTATTTTAGAGAGAGAGCGGGAGAGCATGCGAGTAGGGGAGGGAAAGGACGAGGGAGAGTCTCAAGCAGGCTCCCCGCTGAGCGCAGAGCCCAAGTCGGGGCTCAGTCCCACAACCCTGAGATCATGACCTGAGCCAAAATCAAGAGTCGGAGGCTTAACCAACTGGGCCGCCCAGGCGCCCCAACCATCATAATAATAATGCCTCTGACAGAAATGTTTGGGTCCCCCCCCCGCCCCCCCCCCCCCCCCCCAGCTCTCTCCTTCCACAGAGAGGGAGCGTTTTGAGGGCCTGGTCCAGAAGTGAACTGACCTTAGCAGAGTCAGAGATGAATAGCCAGAGCCATAGTTTCTTGCTTCCAGGAATCCTTTAAAATCCGTCTGAGTTTTTAAATGAATTCTCCATGGTAAGAGTTGTTGCATCTGAAGAGAAATGTCAGGGTGAGACATTCTCAGTGCCACAATCACTAAAATTTGAAAAGGGTGTCAAAGCAAAAAAAAAAAAATATATATATATATATATATACCCTTAGTGGCTCTTCCTCCGCAGCAGCATCTGTCCATCTCCCTCTGTGTGTGTGTCTGTCTGTCTCTCTCCACGTCCACCCACCCCTCCATCCCCTGCCTTTGACCACCACCTGTTCCCCCACTTGGTGCCCATCTGAGAGAAGAACCAGTCTCCAGGGTTAGGAAGAAGCACCGTGCGCTAGCGCACGCCAGGGAGCTGGGCGGCAGGAAGGGGCAAGTGAGCTTCCTCTAACCGCCCCCCCCAGATGATCTTAATTACCTGCACCTGTGGCACGATCCAGAGCCCAGGCCTCCGCTGAAAACATCCAGAAATCAGAATTGCTTGCTCTTGGCTTGTGTAACCACGCTAGCATACCGGTGTCTCAGTAAACCAGATGTCAGTTTATTAATTTACAATGAGAAATACACCTTCTTTCTGATGGACTACTTCCTTCCCGTCGATGACTTAGAGTGCCTTTTTCCTGGCGTCCGAGCATCTGGCTGCTGCTAGGGTCCACGGACTGCGGCTTTCCACCTCTGCGTCCTTGGAACACAGCCGGTGCTTGGCAAATATTGGCCAAACTGAGCTGAAATTTTGCCAGGGATAAGAGTTGTTTATCTTTTGCCATTTTTGGTCAAACAGGAGCTAGAGATGTTTTACTTAATGTATTTTCTGAGTCAAACACTTTCTAACCCACAAGGATCCATGCAAACACTCTATGGCAAGATTTACCAAATTGGCCATTGGTCTGGATTTTCTCCCCCCACACGGCTGACTTCGTTATAAAGCAAATTCCTCTCAGAGGATTTACCTAGCAAGAAAGCAGTCCACTTCACTCTGTGTTCTCTCTTTTCCTTTCTGTTTGAAATGAATGCTGTAAAAGATGTAGGTAATAATAGCACACACAGCTATGGACCGTCCGCTGCCCATCCCTGAAATAGATTGTTGAGTCGAAGAACAACGGCGTTGTCATTTACCGAGTTGTATGGGAAGCAGGGATCAGAACTGAAGACATAAAAAGACTTATGAGTCAGTGGAGTCCAATTTAGCCTTGGTAGTAGTGTGAGGCCTATTACTAGGTCCATTTTCAGGGAAAACTGTATTGTTAGGGAGGGAAGACTCCTGTCCCTTTGTCAGAGCCCTGGTGATGAAGTCCCTGGTGGTAGGGAGCTCTTTTTCAGGCCCTCAAACGGTTTTCCCCTTCTACCCTCCCCTCCCCTCTCCAATCCCCTGCTGATCCAGACACCTGTAAAGGCGCCCAAGCCCCCCTGACAAACTCTGGCCACCCCCCAGGTCAGGCAGGAAGAGTTTCTGGGGTGGGTTGTTGAGGAGGTCTTGCTCAGAGCTCTTGGCAGCTTTGACACTCCCCCTGGGGTCTCCGTGCCCGGGGCTCTACCCCTGACCTCATCCTCCACGCTCTTCCTGGGAACTGCGTCTGTTCCTGTGGCTTCCACCACCCCCAGATGCTGGAGCCTCTGCGGCTCAGCCACGGGTTGGGCCTACGCGTGTGCTGTCCACGAATGCTCTTCCCTCTGTCCCGCGGCCTGCTCCGTCCAGACGAACACGTATCGCAGGGTCCTAGTCTACTGAAATACATGCTCCTCTGTTTAATTTGCAGGACTTTTCGTATAATTTTACTATCCAATAACTGTTGGAATCCCTGAAGTCTTAGCCATCTGCTACTCTCCTCCTCTTCCTAGCCCTGCATCCTTCCTGAGATGATTCATTAATACAGTTTCTGTTTCACAGAGATAATGTTCACAGATACATATCTGGTTCCAACTGTCTTACCTGTCTCGTTTGGTATATGAATTTAGATGTTTCTCTGTCTCCTTAAAATAAACATCTGCTGTGGCTTCGGTTCCTGGATCTCTAAAATGCAGGAGTGAACACAGAGATAATTTAGTAGGTTACAGTGTATCAGTGCAATGCAGTTTTTTAAAAAGACTTAAGTCATTTATTATTTGAGAGAGAGAGAGAGAGAGTGTGTGTGTGCATGAGAGCAGGGTGGTGGGGGTGCAGAGGGAGAATCTCAAGCAGGCTCCACGCCTGACGTGGGTCTCGATCCCACGACCCTGAGATCATGACCTGAGCCGAAATCAAGAGTCGACTGCTTAACTGACTGAGCCACCCAGGCGCCCCTCAATGCAATGCAGTTTTAAGCAGCTATTAAAAATGCTTACAAACAAATTTGGGTCAATCCTGTCTCTCTATGCACTTCTAAATTTCCCCAAGGAGAATTCCTTTCTCTCCTAATCAGGAAAGAAGGGAGAACACAGGTGACATGATCAGTTATGTCGTAGAGGAGAAGGTGGAAGGTGCAACCCCTGGCAGGTCCCTGCAGATTCCCCAGAACCCTCCAGATTGGCTGTCTTTTCCCTTCCAAGTGCCCGGCTGTGAAAACAGATGAGATGATGAGCGGCCTTGAAGCAGAAGCCTCTAGTTTGTCTCTATTTCCCTCTTCTCAAAAGAAAGTACTTTTTAGACTTGGAGCTGCCCGGGGAAAGGACCTCATTTCATTCATTTCCGTAACCGCAAAGCATTTACCACAGGGTGTGAATTCCAGCCTGGCATCACGGAATACTAGCAGGTGGGAAAAGGAGTTCTTTTTGTTCTGTCATTGAATGAACCCCAAGGTAAGTTAAGTGGGAAAAGGCCAACTGCAAAGCAGTGTGTAAGGGATGGTACCATTCGCGTAAGCCAGGGGGAAGGGAAGTTTCCATCTCTGGAAGGGTGCCTAAGAAACCGGATGCCTCTGGAAAGGGAACTGTGTGCTGGGCGCAGAGGGGTCGGAGGGAAGCTTTGCACAGCAAACCCTTCACTACTTTTTCAATTTTAAACCCTGTTGAATGTTTTAGTAATAAAAAGAAATAAAATTTAAATTTAAAAAATACACGTCAACTTTATTTAAAATATGCAGAATAGGTAAATCTGCAGAAACAGAAAGCAGATTAGTGGTAGCCAGGGGCTAAGAGTAAGAGGGAATGGGGAGTGACTGCTTAACGGGGTACGGGGTGTCCTTTTGGGGTGAGAGAAATATCCTGAAGCTGGGTGGTGATGATGGTCGCACAACATTGTGAATGTACAAAATGCCACTGAGTTGTGCACTTTGCCTTTTACTGAGGTATAATTGACATAATGCTCACTTGAAAATGGTTAAGACGGTGAATTTCGTGTTATGTGAATTCTGCCGTAATTATACATATATAATTTACATATTATATATAATTATATTTTTGAATGAGCAAATGAATGAATGAATAAAATTACAGACTTACGTTAGACGGCCTCTTTATGTAATGAAATGTCCCTGCTTTGTAGTTTTTTTTTTTATTAAAAAAAATTTTTTTAAGTAATCTCTATACCCATTGTAGGGCTCCAACTCATGACCCCAAGATCAGGAGTCTCAAGCTCTACCAACTGAGCCAGCCAGGAGCCCCTGCTTTGTAGAGGTTTTAATGGGAAATTCCAAGCACACACAAAAGCAGGACGGTATAGTGGGCCCCACTTACTTACCCCACCCCCAGCTTCAACAATTAGCAATTCTGGCCAGTCCAACTCCACTGATACACTGACCCTCTTCTCTACACCTCCTAGATTATTTTGAAGCAAATTATAGCTATTGCAGTGTGGATCTCTAATAGATAAGGACTCTTCTTAAAAAACTTATTTACGATGCATTATCATCTCTAAAAAATTAGGTTGTTCCTTAATATCATCAAAGGGCAGTGTTTACATTTCAAAATTAAATTTGCCTTGCAGATACCCTTTTTAGAGTTGATTCATTGCTTTGTGGTTTTAAAGAGACCAAACGGCTTTCCCCAGAACTGACCTGGTAAGTTCATTCTCAGCCACAATGAGATCTTAAAGAAGTTAAAGTTTCTTCATCTGAGAATGACTGAAATCAGGCAGGTTGCTCTTAAAGTTCCATTCCTGCTCAGATATTTTCTGGAGGGTTTCTGAGGAGCCCCCTTGCCTTCTGTGACCCCCGTCGCTGTGTGGTGATGAACGTCAGTCCTGAAATGCCAGTGAGCTGATTGAAATCCTAATTTGAGAGGCTCCACTTCAGTGCTGGAACTCACCAACAAGAGCGTCTCCATTCTCCCTCTTGGTTATTGGAATAGCAGCCACACTTCCTTGTCTGAGGGGGACGTGTCCCAAGCCCCCCCAGCGGATGCCTGGATCCACAGAGAGTACCCACCCCATGCAGACGATGTGTTTTCCTGCACATGCACACCTAGGATCATGCATACCTACGTATAAGTTAGACACAGCAGGAGATGAAAACAATAACTCGTCCTAAAATAGAACAATTATAACAATGCACTGTAACAAAAGTTACGTCAGTGTGGCCTCTCTGTCAAAATACCTTATTGTGATATTTCTTCTTCTTCCCGTGAGGATGTGAGATGATGAGAAAGCGCCTACAGGCGGAGAGGACATGAGGTAGGGGACGAGGGCATGTGTCTGCGACGTAGCATTAGGCTGCTGGTGACCTGGGGATGCGTCAGGACCAGCATCATCTGCTTGCAGACCTCGGCTTGACTGCAGGTAAGCAAAACCCCAGAAGGTGAATAGTGGGTGTGTGTGTGTGGCGGGGGGGGGACTACTGTATCTTAACTTCTCCCCATCTTTGCTGAATGTAGTTCTGGATGACCGTCTTTCTCCCTCTGGGGACTCCTCCACAGCACTCCCCTCCCCACAGCACCCAGACTGCCCTCGTCGGTTGTCAGCCGCCTAAGACAGGGGCGGTGGGCACTCGAGGCATCATCCCAAGTTACAGCTGAAGCCGTCTAAAAAGAAATTGGGAGGTTTGACTCTTTCCTTTTTTTCTCCTCTACTTTCCCCCCCCTCTTTTTTGTGTTTATAACGCATTGGTGGGCCCACGTAAGTGACATTTCCCTTCATCCCACCCAGATGCTCTGAGTTTTAGCATGACGGCTGTCTCCGGTTAATTCTTATCCCCTTCCTTCACCCCTCAATTGTACTTTCCTCCCAATGTGCTGTGCCTTCCAGAGTGACCACTGGCTTATCTGCAGGACCGTCAAGCCCGGAAGTGGGCCAGAGGACCCCCCCCTCCTTCAGGAGACCACGCCTCTGTGGCGGGACAGCACTAGCTCAGGTGCCGATGCTGCCCTTTCTACAGATGACAGACCTGAGGCCTAAGGAGGTTGGAGAACACGCCTGAGCCTAATAACGGGGGCCGGGCGGGGGGGAGCCCAGGTCAGAAGCCAGACAGCCTGCTCACCTAACTACCGTGCTCTGTTGCCTAACCCTAAGGGGTGATTTTTGTGGTTACAGAGGAGGGCACATCAGAGGGATTTGGTTTTCACCCGAGAGCAAACACAGTAGCAACTGCTTATTTCGTATAAGTCAAGTTGGCTCTGGGTGATAGTATCCTTTGTTTTAGCATTTCCCAAAATGTGTCCCCTCCGGAAAACTTAAGGTTTTGTTGTCAATAAATTGACTTAATTTAGAAAAGATAGTATATTGCATTCATTCTTGGAGTTTCCTGTCTATGCTGACACAGTACAGGTTCTCAAAAGAGAGAGACCGGTAAAGAAGCCTATTTCCGTTTCGTCCACCCCTATGGAGGACGGAAACTTTCCCAGCTGCATAACACCTATTGACATCCCACGGAAACACTGCTTTATGTAAACTCTCTGGAGTGAAGATCAACACGGAGCTGTTTCAGAAATTTTGTTGTCCTTTCTCTAATTTGTTTTCATGAAAACAAAGCCCTTCCTGGCTTTATTAAAAGGAAGACACTTCAGAATTTCTAACCTGTTTTGCCATAACCCACTCTGACCCACTGTACCCTGGAGTGGTTGTGGGGGTGGGGGTCCTGTTTCTGCAGTGCTCATAGGCCCGGAGGCCCCCACTAGAGCAACCTGAATGTGAGTCAGCCTCCCTCTTGGGCTTCGGGCTTCCTTAGGCTGGCTTGCATCAGAAGGGCCCCCCGGGTGAAATTTCAGCTGTGATGATATAGTTGGTGTCCAGTGTCTCTCTCTGTAAACACTGACCTCAGATTTGGTAGATAGAAGCTTCCAGACTTATTTCCATGTAATGACCCAGCTGGATCTAAAGGTAGAGTATGATGTCACCAGCTCTCTGTAGTCATTCCCTAATTAATACCTGGCCATGACTACCTGGCTCTTTTGTTCTAAATTAGGACTATATCTCATTGTCATCCCTCAACTACGGGGAACCGAGCCAGGGGGATGGGCTGCCAGAACTTGGGATCATCCAAGGCCTGCGGCACAGAGGAAGAAATGAGAGGCAGTATACAGGCCCTGCGTTCAGGATGTTGGAATAGGAAGGGCCAGGCGTGCAGAGGCAGCAGGCCCGAGGGAGTCTTCGGGCCCAGGAGGCCGAGGAGGGCTTGGCAAAGCAGCTCACTGCTCTGAGTAGCTCTTGGGAGCATAAAGTCAGTCTGGCTGGGAGCCTTTCTCTTCACAGCCCCCGGTGGCTAGGTTGGCCCCACCTTGCTGGTGGAACATTCTCGTTCATTCTTTCCCAAATTTGTCTTTCATAAGAATCACTGCAGGTACTTATTAAATACGCAGATTCCCATACCCCACCCCCAGGATGTACTGATTCGATCTGTTTAATGAATGTTCTGAGAGACCTGTGTGATGAGGCCAGTTTGGGGAAATATTCCTCTAGTTGTCAAGGGATCCTACTCAGGAGTAATGGCTCGGTCCATGCCTCCCAAGTGATTTTGTTTGCCGTCTGTTCATCTTTGGGCCACAAGGGTCTCACATTCTCTCAGAAGAGAGGACCAGGGCCTCCTCGTCCCCCTTCCCCTCATCCTCTGGGGGGGGATCTCGGACACCCAGCCCCTCCGGCCGGGGCCAACGCATAGCCTGATGTCAGGCCCCGTCTAGAAGTTTCTAGGTTTTCTCCCTCTCCGGGGGTCAGTCTTCCCCCTCTTGCTTTAGTAAGAAGGGATTTTGGGAGATGTGGTTTGATGAGCTCTCGGTGCCCGTTTGGTGTCTTTTCTATTAAACCTCTAGTCTGCGTCAGGTAGCCAAGAGTATTTATAGAGCACATATTACGTGTAGAACAAGGAATAAAAACTAAATTAAGCATGTCCCTACCCTCTGGGCATTGAAAAACTGTTTGGATTTCGAATAATGAAAACGTTCTGGAGATGGATAGGGGTGATAGTTTCGTGACACTGTGAATGTTCTTAATTTCACTGAAACTGTACACTTAAAAATGATTAAAATGGTAAATTTTATGTGACATATATTTTGCCACAATTCGAAAAAAAAAAAACAAAACCCAACTTGCTCAGGAGACTATATACCCAAGAAACAACTAGAGAGGACGTTTCCAAAGTGATAAACCAGTAAATGTAAAGAAGCCCGTGGATTTAAAGGGATACTTGAGTAAAGAAAACCACTCAGGCAGCTTTTGTGTCAGTTTTGAAGGAGGTTAGGAAAATCTCCTAACTGGGGAATGTTAATCTCCTAACTGGGGAATGTCTCCAGACTGGGAAATGTTGCAAGTGAAAGAGTTCACACAGAATAGAAACGGAATTTCTAAAGGGGAGGCTCTATCACAGAGGCAGCCCACATACTACCCACCAGCCTGGGTCCGGGAAGTGTTTGCTGGGGAATGAAAGGGAACGATGAGGGGGAAGTCTCCTTGGCCAGGTGGCCTCTTGCTTCAACGGAGTAGAGAGGTATTGTCTTGATTTGAAGGGATTTTCTGCTTTCTGGCATTACAACGCTGACATTAGGGGAAGGAAACTCTGGAAACCCCTCCACCCCCCCCCCGCCCCCCAGGGGAGAGCTGTTGGAGATATGGTTAGAGATTTCCAGAAAAGCTGTACTCCTTTCTGGACCAACTGCGGGATCGTGCATCTCTGCCCTGCGCAGCGTGGGAAAGAGCTGGAGGTGGGCCTTGGAACGGAAGCCAACTCTTGCTGGGAGCCCAGCACAGGCAAGAGCTTTGTGGAACTCAGAGGCGAAACCCACTGGGCAGCCATGGGAAACAGGAGGCTTTCAGGAAAGGTGTTACTTATCACAAGGACCCCAGATTTGCAAGGGGGGGGCCTCACTTAGGACAACTGGTGGATGAGTTAAGCTTTATCGGAGGCGGAGATGCTAGGAACCCGAGCCACTGTGGCCTCCCAGATGGCGCTGGAGAAGGGATGAGGGGTGGGGCTGTGCGTCTGACCGGCTCCCCAGGCCAGCCGAGCCATCTGTGGCTGGTCTGACACGTAGTAGGTGTTTGGTGACTTTTTGCTACATTGAAATGAATTGACAACCCACTCGTTTCTATTTTGTAGGACTTGCTTTTTGTTTGTTTTCGTTTTGTTCTTCGTTTTCTAGTAAAGAGTTGCTTCTATTTTTTTTTAAATTTAAGATATTTGATTCAGCTAAATTAAGCTGAAGGGGGTTGACCCACATCTAGAACAGGGGCCCCCTGGGTGCCGAGGGCCACTCTTGCATCCTCCAGGCTCCCCTCCCTCCCTTGGTGATTCAGCCTATGCCTTCCCCAGCCCCACCTCTGCTCCATCAGCCTATGTGTGCTCCTCTTAGAGGCCTGTCTTGGGGATGGCCCTGAGTCCCCCTTCCACACTTCATACCTGCCATCTCTGACTGCCCACTGAACATCTCCTCTTGCACATCCCTCGGTATCCTGCATCTCAGCAGATCCGAAATTGCACCCACCACCTCTGCTCTCTGTTCTGCGGCTGCCCGCCTCCCTCCGGGCTTCCCTGTACCCCGGAGAGGCATCACCATCTACAGGGTGTCTCCAGCTAGAAACCTTCTTAACTCATCCTCAGTCCTGTTGAGCCCATCTCAGACATGGCTCTGGAGTCCCACCTCACCTGTGGGAGCCTGCCCCGTCCGAGCTGTTCTAGATGTGCAAACAGGCGCCTCTCTGTTCCGGAACTGCTGCCCTCAGAGCGAGCGAGCAGGCTTTAGGATTAATTCCTTCTGCCCTGTGCTCAGAGGACACTTGCACCTCCTTGGCCCCACAGTTTTTCTTGGGTTTCTTAGCTCCCCTCCGGAGCCCTAAGTCTCAAGAAAGCCCAGCCGATGAGCTAGGATATGTCCTTTTCCTCCCTCCCAGTTCCAGAACTCCTGGATCTCCGCGTGTACCGCTCTTTGGCCATCACGAGGCTTAGAGGGTGGTTCGCACCCCTGGCTGCACAGTGGGATCGCTTGGGGAGTTTATGGGGTGACGGAGGCCTGGGCACTGCCCAGGCCAATTAAGTCATCCTCTCTGGAGGTAGGGCGCAGGTGTTGGCATTTTGTCAAGGCTCTCTAGGTGATTTCAATCGTCAGCTAAGGTTGAGAACCACTGGTTTACAGCATGTCTTTCCACTCTGTCTTGGGGGGGGTCTCAGAATTGTGCATTCTCCAGCTCCCCAGACTGGGTCTTGCAAGTTCTTCTCCAGGAATAGCTTAACTTGGAATGATTCTATCATATCTTTGACTTTCATGTATCAATTCATCCATCTACTCTGTGCGTGGCACTGGGAAACAAATATAACTCTGTGTTCATGGGGGGCGTCTATTGTCTTCGGCTGATCCCCCACACCTGTTTACTTTGATTGTCCCAACCCTTGATTTTTCCTCTGGGTGTCTGCTTCAGTCCTGAGCCCAGCCCACGGTCCTCTGTGAGAAGCTGCCTCCGCACCTCACTCGGGGCTGCCTGTGACCCCGACTAAGCCCATCAGGGCATGTCATCCACCTGGCCACAGGGGTGGGCTCAGGGACGGGCCCGAGCCCCCAGGCATGCCAGTCAGACACCGTGCAGCTCAATTGTAGGACTGCGGTTTGAATCATTAGGGAATTTACTCTTTTCTTGCTACATGGGATGGTGGGACCAGTGCTGGGAAGAAAGCCTATCTAAGAACAGAGCCCAGCAAAGAAGACCAAGGGAGGGACCCTGCCCTCAAAGATCACTGCCTTACGGGGAGACTCAGCTGCTGAATCATCCCAAAGGCACAGTAGAGGTGATAGGGGGCTAGCTCAGGGCAGCGCAGCAGCGGAACCCGGACAGCCCCGGGGTGCTCGCAGTTGGCTGGGCTGCTCATCTGCTCATTTCCAGTTTTACCTGTTGTAGCTGAACTCTTCTGGGAGACAGCCAGGGAGGTCCGGCCTCTCCTCAAGCTTGTTGGACTGCTGGATGACTGACCCCTCTGCCCAAAAGCTGTCGCTTTCCAGCGCCACAGGAACTCCCTGGTCCCCCCTCTTATTTCAGGCTCCCATCCCTTCCTGGAGGCTGATCAAGACGCCTCTTCTCCCTTCCCAGCCTTGGCTGAAACCTGTCCTAACAAAATTCTGCCCTCTCTAGGCCATTCTCCCTCCGGCTGCCAGAGGATCTAAGATGCGAATCTGATCCTGCTTCAGAACTTGTACTCACTCCCTGTGGCCCTCAGAATCAAGCCCAGACTCCTTCATGTGTCCCCGAGAT